TTCTGTCAATGGTAAGTTTGTGATAACGTAAGAAAACTAGTTTAAATGTTTTGCCACTTGCTTGAGCAACTTAACATATACATCTAGAATTAAATGCAGAAGTAAGCATTGAATAATGTGTAATTTATTGCGTTTAAACACGTCTATGAAAGATTGTATTACCTTCCGTGTAAAAAAAAAAAAGTAATAGATGGCACTCGTGGAGGAAGGAAAACAAAGTTCTTTATGAACCGCAGGATTGATTGTAATAAAGATTTCAATGCAAAATAAAAGGCAGTAGAGCTGACTATTTCTGTCAATGGCAAGTTTGTGATAACGTAAGAAAAGTAGTTTAAATGTTTTGCCACTTGCTTGAGCAACTTAACATATACATCTAGAATTAAATGCAGAAGTAAGCATTGAATAATGTGTAATTTATTGCATTTAAACACGTCTATGAAAGATTGTATTTGTTGTGTTTGTGGTAAACAGCCACGGATCAGGAGCGGACTCCTGTGTGAAAGCACAGTCCGTGCTGCTTCTGTAACACACATGGACTGCATACACACTGCAAACGGAGTATGTGTGAACCTCACATACAGCTCACGAAATCAGGCTTGTGCTGTGTAAGCTATTGTGCAACAATTACACGATTGTAAAAACAAAAATGCAGTGCATGGTCGAACATTTAGGTGAGATAAATATATATTTTTAAAAAATGTCCAAAAAATGTCACCTAAGAGAGGAATTCATTTTCAAAAATTAAATTCAGGCCCTGAATAAATGTCTACAATTCCTGATTAAAGTCTTACTATAAAAAATTTTACATGATAAAAAGAAGGCTTTAAAAAGATCGGTATCTGTGATCGGCCTCAAAAATCCTGATCGGAGCACCCCTACAAAACAGGGTGCTCACTGAAACACAGTAGAGATAAAATATGCAAATCTTAAAACCATCTACAACATATAAACACCATAAAGTTAACACTGTCATATTCATCAACATTTGGCATAAATGCCTTGCACTGGCTCGCATCAAGTTCAAGACATTGATGCTCAAGAGACTCAAAATCACTTTCCAGAACATTCTCGTTCACTGTTCCCGGCTGGTGGAATGATCTTCCCACCGCTATCCGGAATACTGAATCCCTGACCATTTTAAAGCGACAGCTGAAAACTCACCTCTTTCGACGCTACTTGACTTCATCCTAAATTAGAAAAAAAAATAGTCTTTCTCTTTATTTATTCCTTCCCTTTGTAGCTTGTACTTATTTAAACAATGCCTGAAACTTGGTATTACGAGCACTTCCTGTGTCTGTTTGCCTCTTTAAGAAGAATCGTAATTTGTAATTCGCTTTGGATAAAAGCGTCTGCAAAATGACTAAATGTAAATGCACCATATCCATTGATTGTGCATTGCTCTGAAACCACAAGCCCGTAGAATGCGAGACGGTGCCACATTTTAACATTTAATTAAATCATTCTTTTAAAATTTAATAATATTATACTGTATTGCAGTTCCTGGTTTTTCCGTTCATCCTCATAAATTTATCATGAAGAATTTTGTTGTACTATTTAAGATATTTAATACCGTTTATGACCTTAAATTTGATCAAACTGAATTGAAGATTTTTTAAGTACTCGCTGGAACCCTGTAACTGGGAAATCTGTAATGAGTGTGCAAGTAATGCATGAAAACATGACACCAAAGCCCTGTCCGTCTGACTTGCATGTGCGTGCGTTTGAGGAATAGTGCATAGAAATACTCTCAGTATGCTTCAGTAATTATTCACAGTAATTATTGGCCACAACAAGCTGTTGATTTGCACTTGCTAGCCCAGAAAGTCTGTATCGCTGCATCCTCAACTCTAGTTTTTCTAACTTTGTTCTGAGCCTTGAGATACTTTTTAAAGCCGTAAAGTCTGAATTTCAAGTTTAACTAATTACACCGAGGCCCTTTAATTAGAGAGGGATACAGATGGAGGATCTGTCTGGCGAACGATCAAAGGTGCGCAAGTCTTTTCCCCAAACGGACACCAGGAGTCTTTCTGTGGTCTTATCTAACCTTTCCGTGTTTCCTCTGTGTTTCATCATTTTTGAGAAGAAAATCTATACAAATACACACACACTCTCACACAAACACACAGGCTGTCATATTCTGTCTAAATTTTACACACTGGATGACATGATTACGTCCGTCTGGAGACGAGCGCATCATTTGTTCGTCTCCAGAGGCAGAAATCAGTAAAATAAAGTGAAATGTGAAAATGAATGAAAAGTGTTCATTGCGGCATACGTTTAGATCTGCTCACAATGCATAAGATTTTTCTATGCACGTTTTTTCCCCCCTCTGTTATTATAGTATTATTTAGCAGTATTATAACAAATCGCACACAGTGTTGAGCGCAGATTAGTCACCAGTGAGGAAAAATCCACAAAACGCTAGGAACAAGAAAATACTTTATTATAATTTCAAGATGTCTTAAAACTTGAGAACGGAAAGACAAGAATCATGATATGGCTTAATGTGACGATTAAACTTCATACGGCTATGATTTCATTGAATAAACAAACAAAATGTCAAAACGCGGCGCGGGTGTTTTGATAAGAAAGTTTCTCCCTTTTCTTAAAAATAGTTTAAAGGCTGAAATGTGAGGTTTATCACTATATAAAACTTTATTTGTGGAAAAACCTGTTTTTGAACTGCAAATCATGTTTTTTTTTACAGTCATTTTATGGTACCAGTCATTAATATGTTACCATAGACATTGCCCTACCCCGCTCATACAGTATAAATTTTTTCAGTCAGAAGTCAGAAAGAGCTTTATTGCCAAGTATGTTTGCACATACATGGAATTTGTTTTAGTGTCAGCTCCTGTGGCAGGTTGAATTTCCTCAGCTGGCGAAGGAAGTACAACCTTTATTGGGCCTTTTTAACAATGGAGCCGATGTGAGTGTCCCACTTCAGATCCTGGTGGTTCCCAGGAACCTGAATGACTCCACTGTCGTTACAGTGCTGCTCATGATGGTGAGTGGGGGGAGTGCAGGGGGATCCTCCTAAAGGCCACCATCATCTCCACCTGCAAACTTCAGGAGCTTGACAGAGGGGTCTTTAGAGGTGCAGTCGTTGGTGTAGAGGGAGAAGAGCAGTGGGGAGAGGACAGAACCCTGAGGGCCACCAGTGCTGATGGTGCGGGTGTTGTATTTAAATTGACCAATTCTCACTAGCTGCTGCCTGTCTGTCAGAAAGCTGGTGATCCACTGACAGATAGAGCTAGGAACAGAGAGATGGGTTAGTTTGGTCTGGAGGAGTGTTGGGATGATGGTGTTAAAAGCCGAGCTAAAGTACACAAACAAGATCCTCACATAAGTCCCTGGTTTGTCCAGATGTTGCAGGATGAAATGCAGTCCCATGTTGACTGCATCATCCACGGACCTGTTTGCTCGGTAAGCAAACTGCAGGGGATCAAGTAAGGGTCCAGTAATGTCCCTTAAAGTGCCATGTCCTTCAGATAACCCAACACTAACTTCTCAATTGTCTTCATGACCACAGACGTTAGGGCCACAGTTCTGTAGTCATTAAGTCCTGTTATCTTGGGTTTCTTTGGGACGGGGATGATGGTGGAGCGTTTGAAGCAGGCAGGGACTTTGCACAGCTCCAGTGATCTGTTGAAGATCTGTGAGAAGATGGGGGCCAGCTGGTTAGCACAGGTTTTCAAGACATGCTGTTGTCACACCGTCTGGGCCTGCTGCCTTTTTTCTCTTTTTCTTTCTGAAGACCTGGCGCACATCATCCTCACTGATCTGAAACGTAGGAGTGGGGGAGAGGGGGGTTGCAGGAGGTGTTGATGGTTGTGTGGAGAGATGTTCAGAGCGGGTGTAGTGTGTTAGACTGGGAGTTTCACA